TCCTAGGCTATAAATCTTTACGGGAGCAGAAAGCCTCATCTTTCTCCCGCGGAACAGCTGGTAGTTTCGAACTGCTGACCTTGCGGTTTGCAGCCTGATTCGTAACCACTACGCTAGAGTGGTTAGGCCAAAACATCTTTTGATATTAAATTAACTATTTGTCTTTTTTCAATCACTTATTGCTCAAAATGTGCTTCCTACTGTAATCCATTGTGGGATGGGCAAGTATTGCTATCCCTATTATATCCTGGACTTTCTCTTCCTTAGTCCCCAGTCCGGGAGCTTTGACTTCATGACAAACCTACTATAGTCTTTGCTTTTCTCAAAGTACTCCCTCCATCTTCTTTTTATCTTAACCTTATTATGCAAGACAGTCTTCAAAAACATTTCTGAAGATCAGAATTCACCATTATAGAGGTCACATTATAGAGAAAGTAAAATCGTTAAGAGGAAGTCAGATTGTCCTCTAGTAAACATTTCATAACAACACAGAAGATGCTGCTGTGGTAACCTGACCTTCATGTTTCAAACAAAAATATTGTGCAAGCCCTTTTTTTAATGAGAAAATAAATATGCATTGATTTCCTTCCGGTACATGAAAAAAAAAAATTAGCAATTTCCTTTTCCCCCCACCTTCCTTCCTTTTCATTTTAACTGCCTTCCCTGTAACCCAAGTTAACCCTATGTAGGGTCCCCATGAGTCGGGATCAGCTCAATGGCACTTAACAACCACAACAACCCTCCACCAGGGAAATAGTTCTCCCTTCCCTCCAACCCCTGGTAAACATCATAGAATGTTTATTGTACAATGAAAACTTTTTCTTGACTTTTTTACAGTGGTGTCTCATATACTACCTGTCCCTCTGTGATCGACTAGTTTCACTCAGCACGGTATCCTTCAGGTCCCTCCATGTTATGCGGTGTTTTTGCAGATTCATCATATTACACTGTGTGTATGTACCAAAGTTTGTTTAATCTTTCCTAAGTGATGGTATGGGTGTTGTTGTTGTTGTGAAGTGCCATCGAGTCAATACCAACCCACAGCGACCCTGTATAGGGTTTCCAAGGAGCAGCTGGTGAGCTTGAACCACTGACCTTGCAGTTCAAACAACTTTGCAGTCTGGCGCATTAGCCCACAGTGCCACACCACTATCGCAAATGATGTTGTTTTCCTGATGGCCTTTTCAGAACTTTCCCTATGAGTATAAAGAATCCCACTGATATCTGTATGTTATTCTTTTACCCTGCCACTTTGCTGAATTTTTCAATGAATTCCAATAACATTTTTGCTGAGTCTTTGAGATTTTCTAAGTATAGAATAACGTAATCTGCAAATAGAGAGAGTTTCACTTCTTCTTTGCCCATTTGGATTTTTTAATCTCCCCTCTTGCCTTACAGCTCTGGTTGGGTCTTCCAGCTCAATATTGAATAGGAGTGAAAAAAAGAGGATCCTTGTCTAGTTCCTGTTCTCAGGGGCATGGTTTCAGTTCCTCTCCATTGAAAATGATGCTGGCTGTTGGTTTTGTATACATGCCCTTAATTATGTCGAGAAATTTCCTTTCTCTTCCTGTTTTGTTGAGTGTTTTTATCAGGAATTGATTCTGGGCTTTGTCAAATGCCTTTTCTGTATTGATTGATATGATCGTGTGTTTTTGCCCCTTTTATTTATGCAATGTATTACATTGATTATTTTTCTAATATTCAGCCATCCCTGAATACTTGGTATGAATCCCACTAGATCATGATGTATTATTTTTTTGATATGTTGTTGGATTCTGTTGGCTAGGATTTTGTTGAGAATTTTTTTTCTCTGTATTCATGAGATATACTTTCATATAATTTTCTTTTTAATGATGTCTTTGCCTGGTTTTGGCATTAAGGCTATACTTGCTTCGTAAAATTAATTCGAAAGCTGTCCATCCTTTTCTATGCT